ATATTTTTCCATGCATGGCCACACTATTTTAAACGAACATCATTTAATCATGACTTTGTGTTTCAATGTGACACATTTCTCTTTGTAGAGCAGTTTTTATTACAGTGTCAAAAGAGGGAGAGGGTGAGGATATCGGCGGGGTTGGGGAGACGCGAAGCCATAGCCCGTGTGTAGTGAGGTGAAGACGTCGGGCCAGGTATAGGTGAGTAACTCAGGTGTGAGTCTGGCGGCCAAGGTCGGGCGAGAGGGGGCGCCGCCCGGGGCAGCTCTGTGCGCGCCGGGGCGGGGCGAGGGGCGGCCGGGGTGGACCAGGCGACCGCTATTCCCGGATTAAGTTTCTTGTTCGGTCAGGCGACTTGCGGGCTGATTGAGGGCTGCAGACCCCCACATCCCCACCCGATGGCGGGGCGAGGCGTCGCAAACTTGTTCCGGCTATCGGCCGTGAAAAGTCGTGGACATGATGGGGGCAGTGAGAGTTGTCTAGAACCACACCCTCGGTCTCGACCACAGGCCGCAGACCGAGCCGGACGGGGGCCCGGGGAGGTCGCCGGTCACCCAGAAAATCATTCCCTAGAATTTAGGATTTTTTCACCTAATTTGAGGATAAGGAAAACTTCACCCTAATTCAAAGAGAAATTCATAAGCTTAGGCAATCCATTCAAATAAAAAAAAATGTCTGAACACCGGTCAAATTTTCGATGAAGGCCAAAAATAGTTATATCTACACCTTGGAATAAAAGGCACGCAGTTCAACCGCTGGATCCGAGATCCAGGCAGTTCAGCCGCTTAATCCGAGATCCACGCAGTTCTTCGCTACAGGGATAGGAACTGCGTGGATATCGGATCAAGCGGCTGAACTGCGTAGATATCGGATCCAGCGGTTGAAATGCGTGCCTTTTATTAAAAGGTGTCGATATATTTTGTTTCTAAATTGAAGAGACGTTTGCATTGTAACGATCACAACTAACAAGGGAAGGTTTTTAGGTGTTACACACCAATTTCGCTGGGCGCGATACATATTGCAGGGGACATATGTAGATTAAGATTGACACCGGTTTTAGCTGCCCATACTATGTTTTTCGTTTATTTTGGACAAGTTTTAGTAGGAAAACATCATAAGAGCAGCAAAAATGTTATCTTCAAATGCCTATATCTCCGGAACCGTTTGAGCTACACCGTCCAGATTTTGCACAGAGGTAGTCCGCATAGATACCTTAATCGTCTCAAAATATGAGAAGAGTCGAAAAAAATTGTTGAAATGGTCCGAAATCCAAGTCGAAATCCGAGTACGGAAGGTGCACATAGTTTGTGACATTTTCTTCGATGTTTTTCGAAAAAAATTATACTTCACGATACTTTAGTAACCAATTAGGCCTACCTCTGTGCAAAATCTAGGCGGTGTAGCTAAAACGGTTCCGGAGATACAGCCATTTGAAGATCACATTTTTGCTGCTTTTATGATGTTTTCTAACTAAAAATTGTCCAAAACAAACGAAAAACATAGTATGGGCAGCTAAAACCGGTGCCAATCCTTATCTACATATGTTTCCTGCAATATGTATCGCGCCCAGCAAAATTGGTGTGTAACACCTAAAAACCTTCCCTTGTAAGTGTAATAAAGATGGCTTGTAATAAAGTATACCGCAGCCGCCATTTACGGAAGATAATGTAACGAAACCATAGTATTGGGCAAGAGAGAATGCGTCCCCGTTCATAAAGGACTCATACATCACACCTCGGTCCTCTTTCAGATCGACGGTGCAACGCGAGTTTTAAAGTCCCCTCCCCTCCCCTGTTGCTGTGTGGCTGGTCCGAGCATGTTCCGCCCGTTTACCCAACTCCTCGAGCGATAAATCATTTCTGGGGCTATAAAATGTAGAAGGGCGCCGCTTTTGCCGCGCCGGTGCTGGCCGGGCGGGGCGGGGCGAGGCGGGGTGGGGGTGGGCCATCCTCGGCGGAGCTGCAGCCGGGGGCGGTACGGGGGCCCAGCCCGGGCGCGGCAGGACGCTGCCCTGGTTGCTTCGGAATTGATGGCCCCACATCTCCGGGGGAGGGGGGAGGGGAAGAAGGAATTACTGCACGCCCTGCCCCACCCGCGCAGCGGATCTGCCGACGGACTGGGTTGCATTTCAGCCACGGCCGGCCCGGACAAGTTTACCCAGAGCCCCCAGATAATTATTTTGTCAAAATTCCTTTCAAACAAAGATGTACCTTTGTAGGTAGGAAGTACTTAGTCCAATTTCACCGGGTGCATGCTTGCTTATAAGCCTGTCCACGACTTTCGCAGTTAAATACGGCACCGCATGCAGTTGTGCCTGCGTGCGGTGCAGTTTGACTGCGACTGCAGTATCCTGGTACAGAAAACGTCGAATAATGTAAAACAGCAATAACCCCCTCGACAACCCTTCCACTATCGCTGCTTCTCTAGATAGAAGTGCGACAGTGTGTGACAGGCGCCAGGTGGCAGACGCCTATGTTGCCGGGGTGCAGGTGGGTCGAGGGCCGTGGACGTCATCCGGAGCCGGTTTATGATGCGGGTGCTGGGGCGCACTGGCGCTGGGGCGCTGAGGCAGTAAGCTCCAGTGGGTCAGCAGCGAGAAAATTAAAACGCTGCAACCCTTCCCCTATTATTTTTCGCCCGTCCGCACGAAACTTTGCATTCCAGACGACACTGTTTCGGTCCAAGAGGGAGGGTGCAAATGCACGCCTTTTCGCGCACTGGCACGGTAACTTTCAACACACAGTCATTCAACGTGTGCTCTGCGCGCCGTTCTGAGAAAGGCGCACTGACCTGGTTCTAGTCTCGCACAGGCGGTGACTTGGCGCGACACCTCCCCCGACAGCGAAGGGGCAAAAGGCTCTAGTGGCCGCATCAGCTGTGGCCTCTTGCCTGCTACTTACGGACACACGGGGTGGGGGTGGGGAGATGGGGTAAAAGTGCGCAGGGGTGGGTAGGTGGGTAACAAGGCCCGGGCCGGCAGAGCAGCAGGGAGGAAGGAGGAAGCAACAGCGGGCGGGACAGCAGGCGGCGCGGCATACTCCCAGGGAGGTGGGGGGGGGGGCGTATTCGGTATGAGGGTTTGGAGAGACAGAGAGCGATGCCGGCGGTCGGGGAGGGTAGATGGTGAAAAGGGGGAGGGGCCCAAATGAGCGGCACGGAGGCTTCTGCTGCGGAGCGCGCGCGCGCGCGCCTTTTGGCGCACCTTGAGGCGGCGCGCGCGTTAATCCGGATGAAAGGCCACTCAGACGCGTGGTCGTCAGCGCACCTGTCTGTCCCCCCCTACCCCCGCCCCACTCCTCTCCCGTCCCCGGGTCCATGGCCGTGCCGGCGGCGCGCGCGCGAGACGTTATATTTCATCCCCGCCGTCTCATAAGCAGTGGGAGGGGGGTAAGGGGCGTGCAAAGGACGGCGTCATGCTCCCTAATCGCTCCCTGCACCGCCCGGCCCCGCCCGGCCCGCTGCTCAGGGACTGACACCTCATCTCGCTGCGCAGCGGCAGGCCTCCACCTCCTCCCCCTCCTCAGCCCCGCCACCACCTCCCCCACCTTCGACCCTCTCCCCGTCTGTCACTTCCCTCTCTGACCTTTCATCATGTTGTCTCTGCTTCAGTTCACAAAACATATAGTACATATACGCTACGCCTTTATGCGGACCATGATTTCACCGTATAAATTATTTTTTACGATGACGAAAACACCATGGCTAATTTTTAATACAGGGTTATTTTTCGTCACGGTGACGAGAAAACCTTAGTCATTTGACGAAAAAAACCCAGACGACACCCCTAAACTGAAAATTGGCCATGGTATTTTCGTCATCGTGACAAAGAATTTTTCAAGTGTTCTGCGCATTACCGTTACATCGACTTATTATTACAAAGTGGCTAGAGATCATGGAGGTCCACCGGGCTGAAAATTATCGTATTGACAATTATTGGACGATTATTCTGCCGACAATGACTGCGATATCTCGAGTCAGCTTGGAATAACCTTTCAGAAAGGGGAGGGCGGCGGGAATAGGAGGTATTTCCAAATGCGGTATGTTATTTCCTGACGCGTCGTTGTTGCCCTGTCCTTGCGCGCGCGCCAGCGCCCCTCACGTCTGCGCTGCTCACGTCTGCGCTGTGGCAGCGTTTTATACGGCGACGGCAAACTGTCAAGGTTAGTTTGCAAGGGGCCGCGCCCTGCCCTGCCCCGCCCCGCCCTACCACACCCCGCGGTGGAAGTAGTTGAGGAGACTATGGCCCTCGAGTCATCTCGAGGAGAGAAGGCGTAAACAAGTTTTAATTGTGTCGTTCCCGCTGCTTATTGTGGGGCGCGTCCCCCGCGAGACGCCCCGGCTGCAAGTCGGGTGGATATCCGGCTTGAAAACGAGGAAATGAACTTGTTCTATCGGGGAATATCCCTCATGCGTCATCACTGACACCCCCGAAGCGTTCCAAGGCCAAACGCGCGGGGGAAACGGGCGGGAAAAGGGGGAGCGCAGTGGTTAAGGACGACGCAGGGGAAGGCGAAGACACACACACACACACATCTTTTGGGACGACGCCAAGCCCTTCTTTCGTGCTCCGGACGCAATACCAGAGACGCACAGTACGCAAGGGGAGGCATTTTGCCACAGTTATCTGATAAATTCCAGCGTTTACCAAATGTTTGGCCAATAGTTCACCAGATTGGGGAATGGAGGTTGGCGCACATAATTATCGACTCAAGAACACGGAAAAGAGAAGACTTGCTTGGAAATCCCAAACCTACAACTAGAAGTTGGTTGTCAAGATAGGATTAATGAACAGACTGTTCATATATATCGTACGGTTAAAGCCCCACGGCGGCAGGTATCTGTTTTTTTAACCACAGTTATCCACTTTAGCTTACTGTACAAAATTAAACACCAGAACTGACTCCATTCTTTTCTTTTCGGTGAAGGAAAATAATACGCAAGAACGTTAGCAAACATATGGCAACATGCAAATTAAACAACCCATTGGAGAGCTACGCACCTTGTCGCGCTGGTGGTAGACGCAGGCGAACACGAGCACGTTGAGCAGCAGCAGCGAGCAGCCGATGGCCACCGTGGCGGACAGGGCCGTGGAGTAGGCGGCGAACCCGTCGTCCGTCCCGCCGGCGGACGGGGTGGGGTCGGGCGCGGGCGGGGGGATGCCGGCCGCGCCCTCACCCGTGCCGGGAGGGTTGGGCTGCGGCTGGGCGCGCTGCTTGGTGTCGGCGGTGACGACTCTCGTCGTGTTGGCAGCCTCCCTGCTGGCGAAAGCAGGGTGACGTCAACATTATGGTGCCAGCAGCTATGCCTTATTGAGCACAATGGTGCTTGGAGTGCTCTGCGGCTCACCTCGTGACGTTGGCGGGCTGCTGCTGCTCACTGGAAGGCCTCCCCCGCCCTGGACCTGGAAGCGGCCACGCAGGCCCCGGCGGTGGCTCCGGGGGGTCGCCGGGCATCTGATGATGGCCTAGGGGCACGCCCTCACCGCCGGGCCGGTGCAGTTCGGGCACCAGGTGCAGCCAGAACGACAGGCGGTGCGCGCGGTAGTGGCTCTTGATGCGCGGCTTGGGCTCTGCGCAAAGGAATGCACACCAGACCGTCAGACACACGGCAATCAGCGAGTTAAGTGCGGGTCGAGGCTCATGGTCGATCAAAATTGGGGGAGATTGATCAACCAAAACGAAGTGTCAATCACTTCTGTACCAATATTGGCTGTTCTCGTCACTCACCCAATCAAACTCTGCTCATAA